GAATACGATTGTTCAAGTATGCTGAGCGATTCTCATTCTTTATACAGATTGGACACCAGCTAAAGTGGGTTTATTTGCTCATATCATAATCACGAGCAGGGGCGGCTTAAGGAAATTTGAGGCCTTTTTATTTTTGGTGTTAAAATTTTGATTAAAATTAATTCTTCTCATTTTTCGAGTTATAAAAGTATAAATTGAGTATTTATATTTATATTTTTGTATTTTGTTTTTAATTTTTTCTTGTGACAGTTGATTTTAAGTAAAATTTTATCAATTTTAATTTTGAAAAATTTCTTTTTGTAGAAATAATTATTACAAAAATTAATAATAATATTCTTTAAGTAATGCATACATTTGAAACAAAAATCTAGTCTTTTTATATAATTTAGTGTTTCAATTAGAGTATTTTCTTTAATTTATAAAATCTTCTTTAAAATATTTTATTTTTAAAATAACCTAAATTATCAATGTCAGAAAAATTGTTATGTTTTAAGAAACATCTGAGATCAAGATATTTTTTTTTAAACTATTAGCATTTAATAATTTTATTTTTTAAGTTAAATAAAAAACCAAAAAAAAATTATTTATTTTAAATTGATATGGAGAGGTAGTGAGTGAGAATGAAAATGAGAGAGAGAGGATTTCTAGTATTGTGCAATGAGAGTTTGAGAAAGAGAGAGAGAGGATGTGGTTGAGAATGGGTGGGTGAATTATAACTTGACTTTTGAGTATATCAACATGTTTTTTTTAATAAAATTTTGCTTTTTTAAGTTTTTTTTTATTTTGAGTTGAATCATGAGCTCAAAAAATTATTAAAATTTTTGATTGGCCTTAAATTTAACTAAGGCTTTTTTCTAGGGCTTATAATTTTAATGGACTTAAAATTCTAAAATTAGCCAATTATTTACCTTAAATTATGGAACCTTATAAAATTATAGACCTAAAACTTAGACTTTTTCACTTGAAAAATTTGGAGATCAGTCCCTCTTTATGGACTTATTTGGTGATAAGTTCATCAAGAATTTTTTTTTAATCTTAAGTCCATTTTGATATCTATTATCCAAAATACCCCTAGTAGTTATGTTTAATTAAAATAAATTTAAAAGCTAACAACTCTTAATTTTAGGAGTTTAACTAACATCAAAAAATTTTCTCTCATATATATTTATATTCATATATAGAAAATGACTATTTTTTTCTCTCTCTTTCTCATTTGTGTGTGTATATATATATCTATACTATTTTAAAATGTGCGAATACATGAAAAACATTTTATTTGTGTGTATATATATATCTATACTATTTTAAAATGTGCGAATACATGAAAAACATTTTATTTCCACTTTTGTCCTCCAAAAACACAATAATGTCATCTATATCCTTCATCTTTAATAGCAAAGTAAACCTAATCACCACTTCCTCTTTTTCCCTTTACTCCTGTACTGACCCGTATCTTGTATCTCTCTCTCTATTTTTCAACCGTTTCTCTCTCTCTCTCTCTCTCTCTCTCTCTCTCCTTATTCTCGGCCGTTACTTTCCCTCTCGCCCTTGCGTTTTCACACATCAACGCAGACCAAACCGTCATGCCCCCTCTCCATCTCTCTTTAATTCTACCTTTGAGTCCCTACAACTTATTATTAGCAGATTTAAGGGCTTCTCCATACAACCCAGGTTCTATACCTGCACCTATTATTTCTCTCCAATTTTCTTTAATTATACTAATTCAATTTAAGAATCATTTACGATCGCAATGCCTTGCACCCTTTGCCATTCTAGAAATCAATTAGCAACTTACACTCTGTTTCTTTTAATTCCAAAATTACAGGAAGTAATGTCCAAAATATAAATGACTACACCACTTCGCACACATCCTCCCAGTTCATATTTCGCATGGTCAACAGCCTTCGCCTTCGCCTTCGCCCTTTCTCTGTCAAACGTTGGCTGTATTTTGTTTCTTGGTATTCCACAAGCATCACTGTACTGCTTCATCAGGTAACAAATTTTTGTTAACAAATTATTCCTCTAATGTCTTGGGTTAGTCATTATCCTCTTGTAATTTTATACATTTTTGTATAGAATATAATTTTCTCTGTAATCGAGCGCCAAAATTATTAATTAAATTCAACCTATAGAATGAGAAAATAGAACTTTTAATTTTTTTTATTTAAGCTTGCATATAAGTCTTTATTATAAAGTCAAAGAAATTTGAATCTGTTGATACTTGTAGCTGTAGTGGGTATTGGGTTTGAATTTACTTAATGAGTTCTGGTTGTTAGTATTTGTATAGAAATCCAATTGTGTTTCTTTTTTATTTTAATTTTCGTTTTTATGGCGTTGTTTTGTTGTTTATTGTTTGTCTTCTTGAATTTAATACAATGAAAACGTGCAACAACAAAAAACTTTGCACCGGAAGTGTTTTGTAGACTTTAGAGATAGGAAATCAATTTAAAGTGCCTAGAATCGGTACAGTCTAAAAGAGTGAATTAGTTGATGTTATTGCTATTATTAACTTCAAAAAAGATAGTGGACATTAGTTATTTTATTAGGAAAAATTTTGCCGGACACAAAGACCTATAACTTCGAATAAGAGCAAATATTTTAGCTATATGCATGAATTTACTAAAGCAAAATCGCAAAAATGGGCTGCCAATATAAATACTACCAAATTTAGAATAATGTTGTATTCAGGAAAACCTCCAATAGAAGTAAATGGACAATCTTCACCACAAACATACAGTTTTGAACTTATTCATTTGACAATGAGTTCATAACTAACATACTCGGTATCTAACACTTTACTACCTTGAAAATTGAGTCTGCTCTTTAGTCATTTGCATTAGACCAAATAACTCCTACCCAGATATGTAGGATTCTGGAATAATACAATCAAATTAGATGTGTTATACCTCATCCTTCTCATAACTGCTGCTAGATGCAGGATTCTCATAACTGTTGTTAGAATGCATGGGGTTACGAAATAACATTTTGAGTTCACTTTATGTGAGAAATTGATGGTATTGTGACCTTTTGCCATAATTTGTGATGATTGCTGCCATATGGTAATCAATTTTCATGAAGCTATGAGAAGAAATGGTTAACGCATTTAGTTCACGTCGACAACCAAATATATTGGTGAATCTTATAATTTTGTTGTGAGATAAAAATAATTTCTGCATCTAAATTTGATTTGTCAAGTTGGATTGAATTGAAGGCTATTAGAAACTCGTCCTATATCATAACAGTTGTTGCTCTGAATACTTGTCTAACACTTTACAAATATCTGAGATTGGATAAATGACCCTTATTATAGTATTAACTTGGCCCTAATTGGTTGAACTGCGATTTGTGTAAGTGAGAAATGGTAAAAGCCAGAAAAAAAATCTTTACATATGTGATTTTTATTATAAAAAAGAAAAGAAAACAACTGTTTACATTGAACTGCTACATTTATGTACATATGCACCTATAATCGGTCTTGAGAAATTGTCTTCTCATTCAGTTGTACGGGTGTTGTTTTAGATATTTTGCAGTTGACACATTGGAATGAGTCTTCCATGGGATCCACATAGACCATTATTCCCATTTGGAAATCCATTTCGTATGGTGTTACCTAAGGGCCCACCCTCTCTCCATGGCTCCATGAACTGTTGAACACGTTTGAGGAAACCTTGGCAGAGAGGTTTAGGAAGCTTAAGCCAAAAGACAGGAGGCTGTACTTATCCTATCATGGATGAGGTTTGTAATGAAGTCCCTTTGTGACACACACACTAATATAAAAGTCTTCATTACCGCAATTGAATTCCCTGTGTTGAATTAGGATGAGAAATGAATTGATGTATATCTGGACAATAGTGTGAACTGTTGAACACGTTTGAGGAAACCTTGGCAAAGAGGTTTAGGAAGCTTAAGCCAAAAGACAGGAGGCTGTACTTATCCTATCATGGATGAGGTTTGTAATGAAGTCCCTTTGTGACACACACACTAATATAAAAGTCTTCATTACCGCAATTGAATTCCCTGTGTTGAATTAGGATGAGAAATGAATTGATGTATATCTGGACAATAGTGTGAACTGTTGAACACGTTTGAGGAAACCTTGGCAAAGAGGTTTAGGAAGCTTAAGCCAAAAGACAGGAGGCTGTACTTATCCTATCATGGATGAGGTTTGTAATGAAGTCCCTTTGTGACACACACACTAATATAAAAGTCTTCATTACCGCAATTGAATTCCCTGTGTTGAATTAGGATGAGAAATGAATTGATGTATATCTGGACAATAGTGTGAACTGTTGAACACGTTTGAGGAAACCTTGGCAAAGAGGTTTAGGAAGCTTAAGCCAAAAGACAGGAGGCTGTACTTATCCTATCATGGATGAGGTTTGTAATGAAGTCCCTTTGTGACACGCACACTAATATAAAAGTCTTCATTACCGCAATTGAACTCCCTGTGTTGAATTAGGATGAGAAATGAATTGATGTATATCTGGACAATAGTGTGAACTTGTTTGATATCTGCATTGCTTTCAGGTCTGAGCTGTCATGCCTGAATCAAGGTCATCTCTTATTTCAGTGCGTCTTGCATAACTTGGAATGCCCCACTCCAAAAAAGTTTTTGCATGCTCATGCTTCATTTGATGGAGGCAGCACATTAATTGAAAGAACTCAACACTTGAGAACTGTTCTTCCATTCTAGACAATCTTACTAAAACACTTAGCCATCCTAAGGTGAAAAACTCAACCAAAGCCAAGGTTTTTATGCGTGCTATGTATGGAGTTAAGGTGGTAACTTTGTTTGTTTGTAGCATCTTTATGGCTGCATTCTCAGGTTCGGCAAAGAAGTTGAGGGATTTCCAAGTTCTCGAAATATGCTTGTGGGCAGAAGCTTTTATCGAGCTACAGTTTTTTGTTAACAGAGGGATAAGAAATATATTTTCGAGTGGTAGTGGACAGTATTGAGAGAGCTTGAGGCAAATTATATAGTTGTCAATAAATTGTACCCCATGATCCAGAATGGGGTGGGACCTGTTGAAGTTGAAGCATTCCAGAATTCAATCTCAGACTTGGGGAAGAAGAGTGAGAAGCTTTCTCAAGGATTAGATGTTCTTGCAAAGGAAGTGGATGGCTTCTTCCATATTGTTTTGATCGGATGTGATGCTTTGCTTTTCAACTTAAGAGTGGGTAGATGTTCATCCTTTTGACCTGCTCCATTGTTCTTGCTTTATTTGTATATTTTCTTTTATTTATCTATTGCAATTTTTGAGTTTGATGTTTGCATCAAGCTAACAACTTTGAACATTTTTTTTAAGTCACTATGCACACCAGTGTTACGAAATAGGTTTCTGAACTGATGCTTTAGTTGCTTAAAATGAACATCCTAGGCAAGGGGTTTGCTGGAGTAATAAGTAGTGGTTTAAATCAGAACTTGCTAGGCACTCCTTGCGAGGAGAGTAGATTGCAGAATAGGCATTTAAACTGAATCTTTTGACTCTGCCCTGATGTTTTTGTTTTGTTGTTTACCTTTTCTCATGTTGGTACATCATATTTTTACCTGTCTGATCATGTTATCTTTGAGCTTGCTAGGAAGCAAGCACAAAATGCTGGTCTCTTGCTTCCATTTGATTATGGAAAAGAGGAAATGTGGTTGCTCACATATAATTGCTGCTTAAAGATTCTTTGGGAAAAGTAAATCACTGAGTACAATTATGTTTCTTGACATTTCTCCAATTATGATTTATTTTTTGAACCTTCTCCAATTATGATGAGAGACACGATATATAAGGATGGAATCAAGAATGATGAGTTTGAGCTAACTTGAAATATTATTTTCTTTAGTATATTTTTTGGGTTTAGTTGTTCTTCGCTAATTATTTACCAATATTTACCAAACAAGTGAATTTATAAAATTGTGGTTCATGACTTTAATATATATGATTTTCTATAAAATATAGTTCACGTGCGTTATACGTGTGCATTAACTAGTATATATAAACACACATACACACATACATACATACATATAGTAGCATTTTAACACAAAAAATAGTAACATTTAAATACAAAAAAATAATAATATTCAAAAACAAAAAAAAAAACAACATTGAGAATTAATATTTGTAAAAATAATAGTAGTAACATGTTCAACAAAAATAGTAACATATACAGCAACATGTCCAAAAAAAAAAAACAGTAATATGTTCATAAAAACACTAACAAGAATAGTAACATGGTAATATATATATATATGAGAGAGAGAGAGAGAGAGAGAGAGAGAGAGTATAATTGTTCTTTGAATTTGAATTTCAAATTTATATAAAAAAATTTATTGGCATATCTTCATCGATAGTGAATTAAGAGATAATAATTCTCAAGTTAGGAAACTAATTTAAAATTGTTTTCAAAGAAGAGTATTTTGGAGTTTTTAAAAAATAGTGGACATAATTACTTATTAGTAAGATTAAAAATAGACTTAGCCTCAAATAAGTTTTTTGACGGATCAAACTCATTATAAGTCCTTTAATGAAGACTCAGCTCTAATTTTCACTTTTTACTTCTATGATTGGGTCAGCCCTAATGAGGAGGGGAACTAATTTTGGGGTCATTTGGAAACATGTATACCAAATTAGACTTAATTGTAAAAAAGTACACAAAACAAAATATTTTGAAAAAAAATACACTATTGAGATACAAAGACGTAAAAATCATTTTTTTGGTGAAGTTGTCATTCCTAAAATCTGTCAAAATGCATTTATCTTAACCACTGAAATTTCGGTACATTTATTTCAAAATTTTGGGTATCGTTATACGGCTTCTTCCTCACAAAATTGTTTCATCTTCTCCGGAGAAAAACTTTCCTTTGTCTTCCATAACCAAGCGTAGGGTGTCGATTGTGACAAAGGATATGGGATTTGGGTTTTCTTTGATTGATAGAGGATTTTTTGGTTTTTTCGGCACAAACTCAAGTTTGGTGAGAGGTTTCTGTGATTGATAGACGTATTTTTGGTTTCATCGGCACAAACTCAAGTTTCGAACTCCTCATTGTTCTTTGTTGTCCATGAACTCAACCTGAAGCACAAACTCAAGTTAGGTGATCGTTGTTTTTCTGCATTTCATTTTTTTTTTTTTGGTAATAACATCATGGGTTGTTTAAAATCAAAATACATTACCTTTATTTTGATTTAGATGTTTTGTTTTGGATGAAAGTTCTTGTTAAATTTATTTTTAGGGGACATATTGTCGCCAATGAGTAACATAATAGATAAAATCGATGATTGAAGACAAATTTGGTTTTTTTTTGGCAAAAAGCTTTAAAATTATGCATTTTTTAAACCCTAGATTTTTTCCTATTAGATTTTGGATTTTGTATACTTAATAATTATTATTTTTTAAATGGTTCAATGTGGGTCTGTTATTGTTAGTCAATGTAAAGTCAAATTAANGGCAAAAAGCTTTAAAATTATGCATTTTTTAAACCCTAGATTTTTTCCTATTAGATTTTGGATTTTGTACACTTAATAATTATTTTTTTTTAAATGGTTCAATGTGGGTCTGTTATTGTTAGTCAATGTAAAGTCAAATTAATTGGTTATGTTTTTTATTGTGTTTAGGAGTCTCGTGCCTGTGGTACCAAATTCAAAACATATATGTATTGTTTTGAATAAAGTTTTATGCAAATATAGGTTTGTCATAATGTAATATTACAGTGTTTGTGTAGTGTGTTATTATAAAATTTTTGGTACACTTTTATTATTACACTATTTTTGGTACATTTATTTTATTATGATGTTATAATTACACTCAATCTTTTGTAAGATTGGAATATTACATTGTTCAGAGATGCTAGTGTTTATTCGTTGTTCAATAATTGTGTGGGATTACACTTTGTGTATATCCTCATTGTTTTATTGTTACACTGTTTTTGTTACATTTTTTTTGTTACACTGTTTATAGTTACCTTGAATCTTTTGTTGTATATTGTACTTGTNATTACACTGTTTTTGTTACATTTTTTTGTTACACTTTTTTTGTTACACTGTTTATAGTTACCTTGAATCTTTTGTTGTATATTGTACTTGTCTATTTTTTACATCTTGGTAACTCAAATAAGTCATGGTGAAAAAAGGAAAGCGATCCGAAGATAAAACTGTGGGTCAATCATCCTCTAGTAAGGTTGGTAAAACACACGACAAAAAACAAAAAAAAAATGGTAGAATCAAAGANTTGTGGGTCAATCATCCTCAAGTAAGGTTGGTAAAACACACGACAAAAAACAAAAAAAAAATGGTAGAATCGAAGAATGAGCCTAGATATAAATCAAACTTGGTTGCCATTATTAGAGCAATAAATGACATTAAGATAACTGAAACACACACGAATGTATTGAAAAAAACTCTATTTTGGTTATTCTTTCAAAGTATCATTAATAAAAAATTAGACAAGTCATGGTGTAGAAAGAGTAATAGTAACATCCAGGATGTGATATTGTGCTTTGATGTTAATACATCTAAATTTCATATTGGTGGAGAGGAAATTAAATTGAGAAGAAGCGATATCAAAATAATCTTTGGGATTGAAGATGGTTGCGATCCAATGGATTCATCAACTCATGGGAAGGAAAATACAAAATTTGTTAAACGAAGATTCAAGAAGGATAGCAGGTTGACCTCAACTTTGATAATGAGCAAACTGGTTAAAGCAACAAATGAAACAACCAAGCGTGATGTTGATGACATTGCAAGGCTATTATGCCTATTTTTAATGGTAACTCTCTTTTTCACACACACCGGGACATCTCTAGGATAGGGCTATGTTTCATACATTGAGGATTTGGATGCAATGAAGAATTATGATTGATCAAGTGCTATTCATGAAGCTCTTATTTCGTCACTTCAGAGGAGGAGTAGCACTCTATCAGGTGTTACTGGATGTGTAATGTTATGACTGGTAATTTTTTAATAGTCTCGTTACATTTCCAGTTTTGTTTTTTTTAATTTAATTAATGCAAGTAATGAGTTTGCTTAATTGAAATTGTATGTGTGTGCAATATTGGGTTTGAGAACACACAACAATTATCAAACCTGACAAGCCAAACGGAATTCTAAGAATTGTGAAATGGAATTTACCGAGTCTTCAAAGAGCTATGAAAGAGACTAGGCTTGGAAAGTTGAAGTTAAAACATGCAAGTAGCTCAACACAGTATCATTTTGGATTTTTAAATGTTGTATTTTAGCTATGTACTCTTACACTTGCAGCGTAACACTCTATTGGTACACTGTTATTCTACACTTCCATGTTACACTTACTTTTGTATGCATCCAATTTTTGATATTTTTAATGTTTCAAAGGTACTGAGACATAGATTGAAGAGAACAACGGAGGAGAAAAATATTATCAAATGGGAAGGAAGCAAACAAGAAAAAGGGGGCCAGTCTGAATTGGTGGGAAAGATCAAAATTGGTAAAGTAAAAAAATCAAATCATGAGGTGGATGAAGAAGGATGTGAGGGCAGGGGATATGAGAAGACTAAACATGACACATTTTTTAAGGATGACGATGATATTATGGATATAATTGGTGATGATGATAAAGAGAAGGTGTCATTTGAATCTCTTATTGAGGTTGCTATTAATGAAACTCTTATGGATGTAATTGGTCATGATGGTTTGGAACAAGTTTCTGGAAAATATGGAACNAAAGCAACAAATGAAACAACCAAGCGTGATGTTGATGACATTGCAAGGCTATTATGCCTATTTTTAATGGTAACTCTCTTTTTCACACACACCGGGACATCTCTAGGATAGGGCTATGTTTCATACATTGAGGATTTGGATGCAATGAAGAATTATGATTGATCAAGTGCTATTCATGAAGCTCTTATTTCGTCACTTCAGAGGAGGAGTAGCACTCTATCAGGTGTTACTGGATGTGTAATGTTATGACTGGTAATTTTTTAATAGTCTCGTTACATTTCCAGTTTTGTTTTTTTTAATTTAATTAATGCAAGTAATGAGTTTGCTTAATTGAAATTGTATGTGTGTGCAATATTGGGTTTGAGAACACACAACAATTATCAAACCTGACAAGCCAAACGGAATTCTAAGAATTGTGAAATGGAATTTACCGAGTCTTCAAAGAGCTATGAAAGAGACTAGGCTTGGAAAGTTGAAGTTAAAACATGC